GAAACATATCCGTTAATTGTTTTGTGTTGGTCTGGTACAATTCTTCACTAAGAAGATACCAAAAGTTAAATGTAACTTCAGCCACTTCATAATCATGATGTCCTAGACAGACCAGCACCAGGTCAAGGATTTGCTCAGCATAAGGTTGACTCTCGCCGTTGCATTGAGAAATGATACGTTTTAAAAATGTCTCGGCTAATTCCGTAAATATTCGGCAATAATTCATTGACTTTTCTTGGTCTTCTTTAGCAACAGACATGTGATATGCCACTTCAAGGGTCATTATGTTGTTGAATAAATACATTTCTAAAGCCTATTAAGTTAAACAAGCATACGATTAAAATAATGTCAGGAATTTCTTTAAATTGAAACAAAAAATGAATAATTAAATAATTATGTGGGGCAAGATTAAATAAAACTAAAGAAATACCTGGTGCTCATCTTCCAAGCATTGTAACATTGTACATATGCAGTCAGCTGCTGCATCATGCATTGCTCCAGGTACAGACTGTTTCTCTCCTTCTCCTTTATGTACCAAAATATCAAAAGCTTTTAAAAGAACAATGTGAAAATGGATTCCATCTAAAGAAATTGCTCTTACAGATACCCATGATGTAAAACAACGAATAATTTTAATGTTCACTGACATATTATCACAATTTGTGTTACAGCAATGTTTTAAAAATTCATTAATGGTAGGAGCACATGTTTTTAAATCCTCCAAAAGTTCCAGTCTTCTATTTTCACCTATTCTCACTGAACGACTCTCCAATTCTTCAGGTAAAACTGTTAAAACCTCTAATAGGGGCCATGTATGTGTCGATGAAAATCTACAAATGAGAATTAACACAAAAAACTACATTAGTCATGAAATTGGATTATACACTTACCTGTTTATCAAATCAAGAACAGCTCTATGCCAGGTAGGCATCTGTAGTGCAAGATCTGCAAGTGCTAGACATAACTGGGTTACTATCACAGTATTTGTATTCTCATTTATTTGACTAATATGCTCCAATAATGAATCCCTCAAAGATACATGTGCTTCCAAGGGTAATTCATGAAAGGAATGCTGTATTTTACTACGCATTGTTTGAGCAGCAAAGTAACAAGATTCCAAGTCTCTTTTGTGGTGGAGAAGTTCATCTGCAATTGTCCATGCAAAAACCTAAGAAGCAACATTTAATTAATTCTTATATAAACAGAATAGAGAACGTACTTACTGATTTTTGTAGGATTCCTAACCACTGAGAGGCCCTTTCCTTTTCTTCATTATTTGGATTGTTGTACAGAGCAGATATTGCTAAGTAAACTATGTCCAAAGCTGGTTTTTGATTTAATTCTGCCATTTTCATATTATTTATAATTTAATTCACTGGAAAATATCACAGTATTTAATAAAAATCATTATTATTTGTAGTTTGAAAACCGTCAAACGTCAAATTTTTTTGTACAATAAAAATCGTTACCGTCAACCACAAGAAATTAAAACAAATAAAGTAAAGTAATACCAACAAAAAAGTTTTTAAAGATTTATAAACGTCTATAAAAACAAGTAGTATATATAGTAGTATAAGTAGGTTGGATTAACACATATCGGCGTTTCTATTTATTAATATTAATTTACTTATTTATTGAGGTACAATATTATTTCTAAACTGCAAATGCCATTTACATATTACTCTTAACGTGCTCTTAAATTACTATCATAGATTAATTTACTATACATCTTTTATCTATGTTCTTCATCAATCATCTGCAATTAGCTCTGTGGGTATGTAACCTATTACCTATGGTATGTGATACTCCGTAACCTATAATACTTTTAATTGTTTTGTCATAATGTATTTTTAGAAATTAGTTTAAACAATATAAAGTTTAAAAATTAGTTTCAGAATTAGTATGCTCTAATTACGTAAATAGTTTTCAAGGTTTTCTCTTTTGTTCAAATGTTATGGAGAATAAATTTCTTCTCGAGACAATAATAAAACTACTTTTAACTGTGTTCATTGACTATAACATTAAAAAAGTAAAAAAGAATCTAAAATATATAAAATGACCGTAACTTACACAGCCGAAGTAGCAACATGCAGAGGATTTGGTTGCTTTTTAAAACTTTTACGAAGGTATTAAATATATTATTGCATATATTATTTCTATCTATTAAATTTCTCAAATTTAATTTTATTTTCCTCTGACTTATTTTAGATGGAGAGGAAGCATATATAAATTAGTTTGGTTAGATCTTTTAGTATTTTTAAGTGTTTATTATGCATTGAATCTCATATATCGGCTGGCACTTAATGATTACCATAAAGAGTAAGTCATACCATTACTACTTGCATGATTACTGACTTTACATTGTTACAGGTTATTTGAAAATTTAGTAAAATATTGTGGTGAATACAGTAATCTTATACCCCTTTCTTTTGTGTTGGGTTTCTATGTAACCATTGTAATGACTAGGTGGTGGAATCAATACATTTCTATACCATTTCCTGATTCTTTAGCTGTGTATGTTAGTGCAACAATACATGGTCAGGTAGATACACAATTTGTATATTTACTCATTCTTAAGTTGTGTTTGTGTTGGTTCATTTTGTTACCTAGTTTATCTATATATATATTTCAGGATGAGAGAGGCAGGGTGATGAGAAGAACTGTAATGCGCTATGTATGCCTTTGTTTGACAATGACTTTTGCAATGATTGCACCAAGGGTGAAAAAACGTTTTCCAACACTTGAACATTTTGTAGAAGCAGGCTTACTACAAGAAAGTGAAAAAGAAAGTTTAGAACATTTGAATAAAAAATTTCCCAGTCATTCTAAGCAATGGTATGCATGTAATACAAGTCTTTCTTGGTCAGCAATTTATTGATATTATTTGTGTTTATTAGTTTTCATGAATTTTAATAGATTATTGACCAATCTGATTAGCTATAAACAAACACATTATTTTTATGTTTGTTACTTTATACAATAATTTGATTTAAAAGGTTGCCAATTGTTTGGGCTTCAAGTATAGTTACCAGAGCAAGAAAGGAAGGAAGAATTCGTGATGATTTTGCTGTGAAAACTGTTTTAGATGAATTAAACGAATTTAGAGGAAGATGTGGCTTGCTCTTAGGCTATGATAGTATTAGTGTTCCACTTGTTTATACCCAGGTATTAGAAATTAAAATAAAAAGCCACTTAGAACTTTGACTTTGTTTAATTTAGGTGGTAACTTTGGCTGTGTACAGTTATTTTCTAACAACAATTATGGGGCATCAATGGGTGCATGGAAAAGAGTACAAAGTAGATTTATATTTCCCTGTCTTTACTACGCTACAATTCTTTTTCTACATGGGGTGGCTTAAGGTAGCAGAGTCGTTAATAAATCCTTTTGGAGATGATGATGATGATTTTGAAGTGAACTGGATGATTGACAGAAATTTACAGGTAATATTTGTTTATTAAGTTTCCTTAAAGATAAAATTTTTATCGATTTTTGTTCTCAGGTTTCCTACTTGATCGTAGACGAAATGCATCACGAACATCCCGAGTTAGTAAGGGACCAATATTGGGATGAGGTATTTCCTCAAGAATTACCATACACAGGAGCCGCAGAAAAATTCCGGGACCAACAACCGCAGCCTTCAACGGCTAATATAGCGGTTAAAAATGTCCATAAAGAATCAGAAACTGTTCCTTCGTCTCTGAAAATGGATGACGTGAACTCGTACGGGGATGAAATGCATAGCATAATCAATTTCAGCGCTAGGCCTCAGTATGGAAGATCAGATAGCTCAAAAACTTCCGTAGGATCATCAGTTACAGGTAAATAATTATCACATTTAAAAAGTTAATTTATTTTTGTTGTCATTAATAAGTTAAAAATGTGGCATAATTTACTGATGTTATTTATTTTGTAGATGCAATTCCCCGAAATAATTCAGTTGTTAAATTGTTCAAAAGATTTTTATCACGAGAGGACGGGGTCGACAATAAAGACAGTAAAAGTGATAGCAAAAGAGGCTCAGCTGCAGACTTGTCCAATAATTGCTTGCTTTTAAAACAACAATCTGCGGAATCTAAGCGAAAATTGGCCAAAGAAATTATAGAAGAGGTAGCTACTAAAATTTTAGTGTAACACAAAATAGGCTACAAATGATTACTTTTTTTTTATATAATTATAGGTCGATGAGCAATCTACTATTCAATCAAATAAAGATCCAGCACGTCCGAGTGTAATCGATTTTTTTCAATTTCCTCGTCCGTCAGATCCTGTGCCCGTTCCTGCTTTTAGAAGGTATTCCTTTATAAAGTTATTTGTGATCTGAATTTGAAATTTAATAAGTTATTTCTATATGTATATGTAGATCTTCGGTACCTATGCGACAACCTACCCATCGTTTAAGTGGAACATCAGCCCCCGGAACGCGCGCATCAAGAGATAGTATGGACGGTATAAGTATTGGTTCGGAGGATGATGAGTCGTGGGCTGATGAATTCACGCGTTTAAAAAAATTAAGGGAAAAAGAGAGGAAATCTAGAATGCTCCAGAACATCGCAAGATCATTAAGTAATACCAACGAAGAACAGGAAATGCTTTTGTTTGAACATAAATCGGAACCACCACCAACACCGCAAACTCCTAAAGATGAAAAGTTATGACAAGTAAGCCTTTAGGAATCATTACGCAAATTACAACTTAACCACGTAGTACTTATTATCTTAATTTAACGCGAAAAAAAAGAAATTTTAATGTTATGTTGTACACATTCCATTTTAATATAGGACAATTATTTTATTCCTTTAAACAAAGTCAATTGCTAACCATGTATATATGTTATGCACAGTTTCTATGCAAAAACTTTTTGATTTCTATTCAACTGTTTATATCAACGTTTTTTAAATACGAAACTGCAATTAACCAAAAACAAAGGAAAAGTATACAAATAGTGTAAATATTTTTCGTAAGGAGGCAATTTTCTAAACAATTAACAAATAAATAATAAACAAATGTCTGTTAACAGTATTAATCTATTTTAATTATAAGAGATGATTACGAAATTGTTGTAACTCCGTAATAACTCATTCCACGTTTTCAATAAATGAAATAAGTTATTAGATTTTATATATGTAATATGTACCATCCTTAAAATTCATTTAAAAAATCAGTACTTACGGAGGTGGTGGAATCAATACATTTCTATACCATTTCCTGATTCTTTAGCTGTGTATGTTAGTGCAACAATACATGGTCAGGTAGATACACAATTTGTATATTTACTCATTCTTAAGTTGTGTTTGTGTTGGTTCATTTTGTTACCTAGTTTATCTATATATATATTTCAGGATGAGAGAGGCAGGGTGATGAGAAGAACTGTAATGCGCTATGTATGCCTTTGTTTGACAATGACTTTTGCAATGATTGCACCAAGGGTGAAAAAACGTTTTCCAACACTTGAACATTTTGTAGAAGCAGGCTTACTACAAGAAAGTGAAAAAGAAAGTTTAGAACATTTGAATAAAAAATTTCCCAGTCATTCTAAGCAATGGTATGCATGTAATACAAGTCTTTCTTGGTCAGCAATTTATTGATATTATTTGTGTTTATTAGTTTTCATGAATTTTAATAGATTATTGACCAATCTGATTAGCTATAAANCAATATTATTTATCAGAATTTAATATAAGAAGTCATTTTATCCCAATGTTGTCACTAATATCTTTAGAACAATGCGTGTAATAATAACTTACTTTTTAAAAGACTAAAAAGACCGAGATCTACCATAACTTACAAAAAAATATGACTGTTACCTACACAAGTAAAGTTGCAACAACAACATGGTTTGACTGTTTTATTAAACTTCTTTTAAGGTAAGTGTTTAGTTTTCTTATTTAAATAATTAATGCGCTTACAAAAGATACTTTCAGATGGAAGGGAAGCATTTATAAACTTATATGGCTAGATGTTCTTTGTTTTTTAGTATTATACTACGTATTAAATTTTGTGTATCGTTTTGCATTAAATCGAGAACAAAAGAGGTAAGTAAATACGATAAACCTTTAGTGTCGGTAAAGAATTATTTTTTAAAGGATTTTCGAGGAATTAGCGGCGTATTGTAACAATTTTGGAAACTTAATTCCAGTGAGTTTTGTACTTGGTTTCTACGTTACTTTAGTGGCTAACAGGTGGTGGTCCCAGTTTCAAGCAATACCTTTTCCAGACAATTTAGCTCTTTTGGTGAGTGCGAGCATTAAACGACAGGTAAGACAGGTATTTTCTAATATATATAAAAATTACTGAGAAATTCTTTTTAGGATGGGAAAAGTAAATTAATAATGCGAACTATTGTTCGTCATGTTTGTTTCTGTTTCGCTTACACCCTTACGTTGATATCGCCGAGGGTAAAAAGACATTACAGTAGTTTGGACGACTTTGTTGATACAGGTTTATTGTTAAAAGAAGAAAAGGAAATTCTTGATGATTTATCACAAAATTATCCTGAACATATGCAGTACTGGTGTGAAATATTAAATTAATAAAAATCCTAATTGAATCTAATAAATAATCTTTATCCCAGGCTATCTTTATCCTGGGCTGCAAATCTGGTAACGAGAGCGCGACATGAAGGATTTATACAAAGTGACCCAGTTGTTGTAGCAATTTTGACTGAAATAAATAATTTCAGAACAAAATGTTCTACTCTTCTGGATTATGATTGGATAAGCGTACCTCTAGTTTACACCCAGGTGTTTTTGTTGGTTTGTAAGTTTAATTTCGAGTAATAATACACATACGTTTTCCATTTAGGTAGTTACGTTAGCTGTTTATTCTTATTTTTTAATCGCATTATTCGGAAGACAATGGACAGAAAAAACAGCAGCCGAATATACTGATTTATACTTTCCATTGCTAACACTTTTTGAGTTTATCTTTTATATGGGATGGCTAAAAGTGGCAGAAGTTTTAATTAACCCTTTTGGAGAAGACGACGAAGATTTTGATGTATTGTGGATGATACAGCGCCATATGAAAGTAATGTTTGCCTCTCTAATACTAACGTTAAGAATATAAATGATAATGGTATGAATTTATAGGTTTGCTATTTAATAGTAGATAAGATGCATCATGAACATCCAAAACTGGTAGAAACTCATTCATGGGATGGTATTTTGCAATATCTTGCTGATGGAAATATTGCTCCTGTACCTTCTACAGCAAAAATTAAGTCTACGAAATCTTTCGGTGCAGGAGATAGAAAAGTAAGTTACAAAAGTTTTGTATGTTATTTATAATTATTAACAAAATAATATCAAGATATGTTTATAGCGTTCTAGTACTGATGGAACTTCAAAAGTGGAGAAAAGAGGTAAATGCTTCTAGTGTTAAGGAAACTTCTTTATTTATTCTCAGTTTTAGATTCATGGTATAAAAAAGCTCATGGGGTTACCATAGACGATTCAGAATTAAATAGTGTTGAAACTGATAAGGTATTCCAACATTCACTGTTTACTGTTACTTTATGATTTTTAAATGCTATTATTTCCTTGTTACAGGACGAATCTTTAAGTTTAAAAATTGATGATGTAGCAAAAAGTAGCACTTCTGGAATACATGATTTTGAAAAACTTAAAGAAAAACGTAAAAATCTGATAATGCAAAAAACAAAAGTTCTATCAGAAGAAATAAACAATGCAGACAAAGTAAATAAGAAAGCATTGTAATCATTTAATTCATGTAAACAGCTATTTAACCGTATTATTGCTAATTATGCTTATTTAAAGAAATTCAATTGAACGTATGAAACAAAAAAAATAGCTCTTCATCATACATTTTTAGATTAATGGGCTGTATCAACCACTAATTGGACGCAATAAAACTATACAAAAAGTTGCTGCTATTTAAAACATTTTCGAATCAGTAAATTACAATAAAACGATTAAATTTTGTTATATAACTAATACGAAAAGTCCTTTCCAATAAAAGTTAAGATAAAAGTTTTTATATTTTGATTGATTAAAATCACTTATTATTAACATATTGTGTAAAACCTTTCTAATAAGTATAAAATGGAATAAATGTTATAATAGCTGCTGTTGGACATACTCTCAACAAAATAAATATGTAGTACTGCAGCATTTTGTATACCAACTATGTACTTCATAATTATTTGTTTTATAATAAAATTATTATTTCATAAAAAATAAGTTAGTTATTAGCTATACCTATAAACTCCACGGTTTTTCCAGTTTTTTTAAGAATATCCAATACTTCCTCTGGTGGTAGTGTAGAAGTGACTGTTACCTTCTGGTTTTCCAAGTCTATTTCAAAATTTTCGACCCCATTGTCTAAAAATTAAAAATACAAACACTTATTGTTTTAAATACAAATCATTTCTTGAAATACCTTTGGCTTTCGTCAGTACACGACTAACTTGATTAGAACATCCTTCACAGGTCATTGCAACTTTGTATTCAAGAACTCTAGACTGAAAAAAACAATTTATTAGCTTTATGAAATAAAAGAAAAACTGTAACATACCCCGTCTGTCATTGTAACAGAATATTTGCAGTACTGACTAATTAAGTATCAAATAATTTAATTTAATATTTTAATAATTACTACACTATAAATTCTTACACGCACAACTATTTATTACCATAGATTTCTTATTAGGTTAGGATACAAGATAGTTGTATCTGTGGAAGCATAGATAAGATATTACAGTATTACAATCTCTAATCTATGAGTGGAAGAAGACCACAGAGTAAAGTATAACACAAATTAGCGCACTTTTTAAATATCCAAATTGATAAAATAAATGGGAGAAAATGTTACTTTTTTTAACTATTATTTACCTGTTTGATTTGGAAAAAATTTTTTAAATACTTTTTTTTTGTCAATTGCTATAAGTATGTTTATAGCAGGTACTTTCTTTTATCACTATTCATTTAAAAGTTAATTACAAAAGGTTTTTTTTTCTCTTCTGCTCTTATGGTTACATCTGCCGTTCTTTATATTATAGAAAAGAAATGCATATTGAACCAGTCTATATTTTAATGTACGCTAATAATTCAAAAACTGCCAACATAAAACTTCATAAAGCAAAAAAAATAGCGAATATTCGTAAAATAACTACTCAGAATACTTAAATATACTGAAAGGTATTAGTAATCAAACGTTACAATGCAGTAACCGAGTAATTAAAATTAAATCTTATATTATTTTTTCAGTAGAAATTGTTGTGCCAAAAAAACGACGATTAAGTCAGAAAATCGAGCGTAAAAAAGGTCGTTATTTGTTTTACTTCTGCGATAAACTAAATATTTCGATGAATTAATTAGCCCTGGCTAGATTTCGATAAATACATTTCAACGACGAAATTGACCTTAAAGCCGTTAGTCAACTGGGTAGTAACCGGAAATTTACAGTTTTCTTTTACTGGTGGAAGCGGTTTCCTGCTCGGGGACCATTCCGGTTTTGACGGGGTCGATTATTTTGATAGTATGCCTGGTTGTTCGCCTTTTGGGGTATAGATCTTGCTTTTTGAGGTATGTCCGATTGGGAAGGCTGTTGTTGAGGTTGTTGTGGCTGCTGTTGTTGTAAGGGAGGTTGCTGGGGAGGTAGAGTTGCTTTAGGTGCTTCATCGACTCCATTTCCAGGAGGAGGAGGTAAGTTCACCGGATTGTTTTGCTGAGGTGGATATGGTTGGAAATTGGGCGGAAGAGGAATAGGTGGAGGAGGTTGAACGAAACTTGTATTAGTGAATGTTTGCGTTGGCAGCGTGTCCGGTGTATCCAATTCAGAATCCTTAAACAAGTATTTTATTTTAATTAGCGAGTCAGATAAAATTTATGGTAAAAGTGTAAATGTAGAGAATTAAAAGAAAAACTGAAATATATTTTGTTAAATGTTTATGAATTTGAGGGTCATAACAGAAAATTGTGAAATTAGAAACTGTGCTATTGACGTTACAACAGTACTATTGGTATTGTTTTAATGATTAAAAAATGGTGTCAGTTTTATTAAAAGTAGCACGAATATTAAACTGATGTTAGCTGAAATTATTCCTTAAAGAATAACAGTGAAAGATATGCAGTTAATGATTAAATAAATATCGTGAAAAAAATTAACAGCAAAACAACAACAAAACATCTTCATAAAACAAACATCAATAAATATTTTTAAAAACAACCAATTTTTATGATTACTTCCTTAAAATGAAATAATTTTTGATAATACACACAATTAAAGGAAAATATTCAATTCAATTTGTTTAATGTGTTTCAGAAATTAATAAAATCAAAATCATACATAAAACACAACTACAATACCAATTCTAGGATTTTTGAATGAAAAAAAAAAAATATATTACCTGTAAAAAGTAAAAATTCCCAGAACCTAACATTTCAGTTATTGGCCTGGGAGGTTGTTGGTAATACAGTTGCTCAGGTGGAGCCTGAGCTATAGTTGGTTGTGGATTGGGAGGTTGAGGCATAACTGCTACATTTGCCTCAATTGTTAAAGATTCAATAGTCGTCACGGTTTCTTGAGGAGGAATATCAGTTGGAGGAACAGATACTTCAGGAGCTACTACTTGATCATTTTCAATTACTTCCACTGTTTCGTCGTAACTCGTTACCTGAAGAAAAAACAATAATTTTATCATATTCACATGATTAATATGTGGAAATACAACTGCTATAATACAAAAAACATATTCAGAGAAAAATCAACAAAATTTAATTTAATCTATGTTAAAAAGTGCACAAAAAAATAATGTAAAAATAGGGTGTCAAGTGCAATGTTGTTTTTTAAAATCAATACAAAAGTAAACAATTTGACATTAATTACAAACAATCGAAGGCATTGTTTCGAAGACTATTTAGATTTGTAATTATTCACTTTATATAATATGAAACAATATCAATTTCATAATTCAATTTTTACTTACCAAAGCTTGATCTAAGTATCCACTTTCATGTATTTTTCCTATAACTTCTTTGATTTGACTATAACTTGCCCCAAATGCTTCTTTTGATTTTCCATCAACCACTGCAAGTAAATGTTCAGCAGCTGCTTGAACCTGATTTGTAAATGCTGTAGGATCTCCTGGCTCATGTTTAGGAGTCACTGCTGGATATATGTCATCCAATAATCTGTTAATGATAATTATATGTATAATTAATGATCAATTATAACAACTACAAATAAAGATATAATGATAAACTTACTTGAGATCTGCAGTTGTAAGTTGGGTTGCACCATTTGTACCATTTAGAAAATCTTCACGCACATTGTCCTGACCCATTTGATTGAGAGCATCTTGCACAAGAAGGACTTCTCTGATCTTAAATAGTATAATTGTTAAAACTAAGTGCATACATTGATAGATTAAATAAAATTGGTCTTACCTTAGCTAATTCTGCCTGACTTCGGGCTGCCGCTTCTTTTCTGGCTTGTTTTTTTGCTTCTTTCTCAGAAACATTGGCAATACCTAAAAATTGTTTAGACAAATCCCTAGCAAAATCTAACGTCTGTATAACTTCGTCATATTTTGCAACAGCGGTTTTTTGATCCTGGTTTAACTCTTTTCCCGAGTTTTGTAATTCACGATAAGATTCTAACTTCGCCTACAAGAAAGAAACATGACCATTAAAATTAAGGTAAAATGTAACATGGCGTATTCAAATTCAGCCGGTAGAAACGGAATTAGTAACTCACTTTTCGTTTCTCTAAATTCCTAATTTTATGTTCTATTACGGTAATTGCTTGTCGCATTGGCGTAAGGGCATTTCCCGAGGAGTCAGCTAAACTATTTTCTGAATGAGCTTGCTTTTCAATTTTAGTATTCGCCGCCGAGGGCATTTTAAAGTTTTGAACTAATTGCTAAATAAGACACTAAATTTATTAAAATATAGTTTGTGAATTGCTAACCACACAACTAGTACTAAAAAGGAACCATGAAAGCACATGAAAAGAGAGGAATACAAATGTCGACAAATTTGACAGTTCACTTAACTGGCTGTAAAAAGAAACGTTCCATACCTATTCCATCCGGAAATGTCATTCACTAATCCGTTCAAATTTTAAGTAGTTAGCTCACGCGGCGGGACTTTTGAATGTTGTTACTTAGTAAAAAATCACAGATCGCAAATTATTTGCTATGAATATGGCTTTGAAAATGATTTTATTTGTACTTATTCAGTTTTGAAAATAAATCAATGCTGAACAGTTTTTTAAACTTTTTAATAAACGATTTAATAAGTAAACTTGTTTAAAAATATTCAATTTTATTATTAATTAACTTTAATAGCAAATGTACATTCTTCTTACATTCAAATGAAAAAAGTACAAAATACCAATAATTTTTTATTCAATGATTTTCATTGTGCTTAAAATTAATCTATACAGTAAACAAAATTTAATCAAATACATTTTATCAATATCACTTTTTTAAGGAGCACACTTTAAAATTTCGAATATGCACAGCATTTTTAGATGGCAATTTCGTTTTCATTTCCTTTTTATTATATCGACGACACATACGCAATTAATTCTCAATACGTATGCCTCTTAAATTATCAATTATTGTTTGCAATAATAATAATAAAAAGTGTACATTATTATTGTGATTATTACTATCATAATGGCTTATTATAGTATGCAGTATAATAAGGTCGTTTTTTTTTGTTACAAGAGCTTAAGACAAAATAAAATTATATAACCTTTCAATCAATATACACAGAATACTTTATTATTTCACAAACAAAAACAAACAGTCCATGAGAAAGGTCACTACACTTTTGTCCCTTTTTTCTCTCCGTAACAGTATTCAATACAGTCTGCTTGAGCCCACGTTTGACGCACTTTTGTAAATAACTAAAAACCCACATGATAGGATATTAAAATTTCAAATACTTAAAGAAGTTAAAATAATAGGTTGTATGCACGCTTAGTGTTGTCTCACATTTTTAAAACCTCTTTAAATTGTTAATGAAAATTAATATTGAAAAATATCGTTTTAAGAGGTAACAAAAATTAACTACCTTTTATTTTTAAAAAATAAATGCCTTAATACTCACTGTGTTAAGCCAACTTTCATCAGCTAGCAGTTCGTTTAAAATACAGGTTGTATCTTTTTGAGGGTCCGAGCTCCTCTTATCTGCCACCCTTTTTGCACATTCTATGTACATCAGATACTTTTGATGAGAAATTTTGTTCAACAAGTCGACACAACTTGTACACCAACGGCACATAAAAAAATCCTGTAATAAAAAAATCAAACATATATTTTATCTAAAATACGAAATAAAAAATAAATGATGATCATAATGGTTATTTGAGATTAAGTATGTTTACCTTATTATTAACTGCTTCAGGATCAGGCTGACAACCTTCGAGCGTTGTGGAGTTGTAGGGTTGGCCGTACATCAGCACCCTTGCATTAACTGTTGAGCCATCACATGCAGCACAGGGCTTCACCTTATCCGACGAATTTATGTCACGAATCACGTTGAAACATGGCCAAGTAGTCACAGCCCCGTGTACAGTCTTCGGCCAATTAAGTAAGAGTGTGAGCTTCTTCTGCTTGCTCTCTGTTATATCATCTATTGTCTTCACGTTTGATAAAAAGTAATCGTCTACAATAGAAGGACTTATATAATAATTTATTTGCAAATATGGTAAATAAAAAATTATCAGCTGTTTAATGAAGACAAAACAAAATTATCCCGAATTACCTTTTTTACTTTGAATTAAGACGCTAATTACAATGTGTAGGTGTATCACCAAGACATTGTATTATTTTTAACTGGTTCCTTACATTATTGATATCAACAGAATGTATTATAACTTCCAATAATTACTTAATAAATAAAATTTCAAAGGAATAACTTTCTTGTATTATTTTTGAAAATGTTTACAACTAATAATGAGAACCCATGTTTTCTCACAGACGGAAAATGAAAAATAAATTATTTAGGGGCCTGAACTTACCTTGTTCTTGGAATATTTCAGTTAGGAAATTGCTGTCTAAAGCTTGAGATATTAGAGTTTGTATGTAGACTTCGAAATTGTCTTGATACGTTTCGCTCTCTTGTATGCATTTCGCCATGAAGTCTGGGTCAAGATTATGAACATCCTTGCGAGCCAACTGGACTATCGTCTCCAGGTGATTCTGCGACCTTACATTTACCTCCACTGGTACGTATTGTTTTTTACTTTCCGGCGTCCACGACGTATACTATAAAAAAATAAGATTATTATTAGAAACAGAATGACCAAAAAATAGATAAACTTACTGTTGATATGTTTTTATACAGTGTGAGACCATTCTGGACAAACGGCTCGTACTTTTGTAGCAAGTTTTTGCCGTCAACCCGCCAAATTCCTGGCCATTCTTGGTTCCTTTCCGATTTTATAACAACAAATTCACCTTGCTAAAAAGAATGGACAAAAGAGTCCCTTTGGTGCTCGAATAATAATTTATTAAAATATTTACTTTGAAAGGCAATCCTTCACCATCTGTACTTGAAGATGAATCTGACACAATGCTATTTTGTTGTGCAACAGCTGCAGCAATGTTGTCTTCTAGAGTGGGTGCTGAACTTTTATGTTTGTTACCTAAAATAATCTTTTAGTTATGGGATCTAATCAAGTTTCTCCTACTAACTTTATTTTTTATAGTATTTTTAAGCCAGTTTTGTTTTGTTTTTATATTATAATAATTTTTTTTACATTTATATGTACCTGCAGCTTTCTGCTTTTTACTTTTCACATGCACTGTATCGTTAACAGGTTCAACAGGATCCTTGGAAACTGTAGTATGGAAATTTTTGGAACCTTTCTTTCTTCCTGCAAAAAGTAAATATTTTTTTTGGTCGAACCAACTACGCAACAGAGTTTTACCTCTCCGTTTTTTGGGTGCTGCTTCTTCTTCAATTTCCTCCTTTGCTTGAGGAGTCCAGGCTGGATCGGAGTCTGAATCTATGAATTCTGGGGCATCTTCATCTTCTTCTGCTTGCTTAGCTAACATCTTGTAATTACTTTTCTCTTTAGCTGCCCTCTTGCTTGTTTCACGTCTCACAATGGGTTCTATAGTAAAGTAAAAGTTTTTTTAAGAAGATAATATGTATGTATATTTTTTAAACTTACCTTCCCTGACCTTTGTTTTTTCACTATCCCTATCCTTTTCGTGTTTTCCATGTTGTCCTTCTTTCGAGTTCTTTCTGTATTTTTTCTTTTCACTAACTGGTTTTTCCCCATTTGTCGTTTTAGAAGATTTCTGCTTCTTTGGGGGTTTTTCTTTTACAGTGTCCTGTTTCGTAACAACGGGGGTTTTCTTCGGGAATAGATCGTCGTCAGAGCTTAAGCCATCATCTGAACTTTCAAACATATTTTTCTTCCTTTCTTTAGGCAATGGAAAATATCGTGGATCATCCTGAGGATCGCCTTGAGAAGACAACCTTGTGATTTGGGGCGCAGGAATAATAGAAGGCAACGTTGAAGAAGACGACGGTACAGAACCACTAACTGGCGTTATTGTGTTTGGGGTTATACCATTATTTTCAAGTTTAGGTTTTAACAGCTGAGACGGTTGCTGCTGCTGTTGTTGGGAAGTTTCACCTGTTTGGGGCGCTTTTATTCGAGGCCAAGTTTGTTTCCTGCTACTTCTAGATGTAGGGGGAGGCGAACCGTCTTTTTCACCCTGTAGAAATTTCAAATAACTGCTCATGAAGTCTGCACCCGGCGCAGATAATTTTTCTGGTTTTATGGCAGATGCGGGGTTTGGTGTTGGATTTGGACGAGTGTAGATGTTTGTTGCAGGTTTTGCTGAACCTTTAAGACACAAAATATTTATTTATGCAAGGAAAAATCCACCAGATTGTAATAAAACTCTAGTAATATGAATTGCAGTTTTTACCTCCTTCTGCCAAGAAATTAAGCTCTTCTTCGATATTGGGCACTACAACTTTTGGTTGATCTTCCTGTTGGGAGTACTGGGCTGAAGAGGAGGAAGCTTGTGACGATTGATCATTAAATGAACCCGAAATGGGAGTCAACTCGACTGAGGACGACGATGAGGCAAACTCGGTAGGATGCGGAGGCAAATGAAAGGGCGGGAAATATGGCAATGGAGGCGGAGGTGGATGATGGGAATGAGGATGCGGCACCATTATACCTTGATGCTGTTGATGGATCGCAGCAGCCTGGGTGCCGAAAATTTTTGATGGGGGAGGCGGTAAATTCCATCTAAAAACAAAGAATTATATATACGTTACTGATTATGAAGTTCATAAAGGCATAAATTTATTAAGTATAAAATACCTGTCGAAGTCAAAATAGGCTCCGTTTTGTTGTTGTTGTTGATTGGCAGCAGAACTGTGGGCTGGGGGTGGTATACGTCCAGGGAAGTAGTCTGTTACTGTAGGTACAGGTGTTTCCGTCGGTGACATGGAGCTCAACTTGTCGTTACTTCTTCTCCTTTTATTAGGCGGCTTTACTTCTTGCTTAATTTCTTGTTGCGGAATCTGCAATACAATAGCAAGTAATAAGTAACACATGGTAAATGGTTTTTCAGGGACTCTACCTGACAACTTTGCTGTTGTAAATTTTTAACGATAGTCATGGGATCGCCTCTGCAACTGCTAAGATCTTGAAGAGTAACTGTGTTGTTGGAATCGAAGTAAGCCTGTTGCCTTTCAGTTAATACTACTGCTCTTTGCTGAGACTCTCTGTTTGACACATCCATGCTATTTGCAGCACTATAGTTATTAACTGCAGGGTTTGATTGAAATTTACGTTGTTGTGCTTGCTGGCGATCTTCCCAACAGTTTTGTTGATTGTTTTGATTTGGACGATCGAACCTATTGCAAAAAAGAGAGACTTGGAGTAAGAAGGCCTTTTTCTAGTATCAAATAAGCTCATTCTCCAATTATCATTTTTGCCCTAATATAATTACTTGATGATTTACATACCTTTCTGGAAAATTCTTTTCTGAATTTAAAGCTCTTGTAATGACAGAAGGATATGCCACACTTCCGCCCTGTTGTGAGTTTGGTCTTGGTACAGAGGCGTCCAAAGGGGAAGGTGGAGTTACTTGACTGTTGGCGTTCTGTTGGGGAGAAGAGATAGAGTTCATGGGACTATTGTACATAGGATAAGCGGGACTTGGTGCGTGTCCCAAGGGCGAAGCCTGCGAATGAGCCTGTAAAGGACTCGGTCGTCTCGGTACAACCACGTTACAATCTGATCCGTTGGAACTATTATAATCTGATCCACTTTTGGGCCTCTGAAAGTCTTGTTCCGAATTGTTCCCCGACTGAAACTGACGATAATTCGAATGCTGCTGGAATTGCGATCGCTTTGCAGACGAATTATTGCTAGCGTAATTCATACGACCTGGAGAGTCTAATGTGGAAAAACTGATGGGTGATGATTGGGTCTGTTGATTCTCTTCAGATTGGCTCGGTCTCCTCTCGTTCTGGGCACTCAAATCCGGATAAATCTTTGTTTGGGCCTTCGTCTGTATTTGTGGAGATTGGGCTTGTGGCACTTGCTTCACGTTTGAAGTTGTGTATGTCTTTTCAGGAGGTCTTGCAGCGTTAGAAGAATTTAAAAAGGCCGCTCTAGGTGGTGCCTGTGGTATTCGATACTCTTTCGAAGTGGGAGTGTTACTGGGCGAGGAGACTATGCACGATTGTTGCAAATTGGGGGAATTACTACTGGAAAACGACTTAGTACTATTCGTATTGGTTTCACTCGACGTAAAGCTAATGGGCACTTGAAAAAACGTGTTTGTGTTAGGCTGAGAAGTTGGAGGTTTCGACACTTGTGGGCTCTGAGCCCTCTGTAAGTTTTTCGCGTTACTTGTAACCAAAGTGTTCAGATGATTCAAGTTTTGCGCCGCAACAAAATGGGCATTGAAATTTTCGTACGTTACGGTTTTACTCGCGGTAGTATTCACTACACTCTCATGAGGCAGGATGCCAAAAGGACTGTTCTGTTGCCATGTGCCACTTCCAGCTGCTCCTTGTTCGAAAAATGCTTGTGGCTGGTGATATTCTCCATCCGATGCCTGTTTAGACGCCGATGTTGCTTGGGCCAGAACTTGTCTATGTTGCGCTGATACCTGAGCGGCATAATGGGCTGGAGGCTTTGTGCCTGTTCAAAATCACAGTAACAAAACGATATATATTTTGACTTGAAGAATGCACTTTTTATCTAAGAAGGAAACTTTTTAATTAGCAAGCCCTGTCTTAAGAGGAAAAATTACAAATAATTTATTATTATATATAGCCAAATAAACAAAGCAAGATTAACATTTGTAAGTGATGTGTGATTAAAAGTTTTAAGGAAAAAGTAGTATACGTTAAAAACCAACCCTTACAAATAAATTTAGTTCAATACAAAAAAGTATATGAACGAAATACAGAATCTAATGAAAATCACTTATCATCTTGTTGCTGAGAAACAAACGTTTAAATTTATATTAACAAACTATAACTATAAAAATTTTGCTACATTCTACCAGCTCATGTATAAAACAATCACGTTTATCTACAAAAAATCATAAGTGCAATAATGAATTTAGAAGACCTACCAAATGCTGCCAGAAAGAAGTAAATTGGAGGAAAATTTATGCAATTACACAAGTTTTATTAAATTTTGCCAATGGTTACCTGTATGATGAAACAGTGGGCTAAAAACAGTTTCATAACCTACAGGTGGAGGGGACAAAAAACCACCTGGTAAAAGCTGTGCAGTAGTAGTCGGAGGTGTCGCACCTGATCCACTAAATGGAAGATGATGATGCAATTCACTGTTAGCTGCGCCAGTCTGAACACCTGTTAATCTGTTATAGGGAGCTGACCATGGCCCCACTGGATCCATTTCTGGGAGGCAATGCTAACTTTTTAAACAATGAAGCCATCCCATCTATAAAATTAAATACAGCACATATATAAACAAAACATCAACATACAGTAACGAACAAGAGAGGCTTAGCTTATAGTAAAAAAGTACAATATAATTTCAACAAATAAGAAAAATATACACTTATCTACAGCATGCACACTATCATATACAATTTTACCTAGTTTTCATGCAAAAGTAATACACCTACACAAATTTTGAAGACAGCTAAATTTTTATAGTAATTTGATATTTATTGTACACTTTTAATTGCATTGTCTATATCTTCTTTTTGATTAATTTTATTAACGTAATTAATCAAAACTTACTTTTGAGGAAACAAATAGGCACAGATAACGATAAAAGAATTTCTACTTAAAATTTCTGCTAATAGCAAAAATGAAGAATTTTTTGGACGTTACTTGATTTAAAGTCAGTGGTAACCAGTGAATTTTCAGGACTCCTTCAAATGATAATATACAGTGTAAGTTTATAATAGACACCTTGTTGTTCAAGGTCATGGAAACCAAATTCGAGAAGAACCCTTATATATTATTCTTAAACCTGACCATCATTTATTGGAAATGAAAAGAAAACAAAATACATCTTCAACCAAGCAAAACCCCTTATTGAACAAGAGATTTTGGTTGAGAAAAAAAGAAAAAGGGTAATTATCTGTTATGAATTTATGACACAATTAAACGTCTTCACTTGGGAGTATCAAAAGAAGCAATAACAAAGTATAAACGCTAATAACAGAAATGTCTTTTTGTTATTAAATCTAACCAATAACAACAAAGAATAACCATCCATGACCTCTAAAATTTAAGGGCTGTATGCTGACCACACCATACTATTATAAGCGTACTGTCATGTTAGAGAAGATTTTAATTAGCTATTAGACGTATTTTCATAAAATAACATACTTTTTCACTTGGAAACTTACTTCTTCTTGAATTAAAATTTGATACTGACAACTTTTAATTACATATTTTATAAATATGGCTCCATCGCGCTCTGAATAATAGCTTTCTTAAACACAAACACAACAAAATAAGCACATTAAAAACACTTATCAACTCACTCGTTCATTAAAATTACGTTTCGAGAAGACATCTATTGTAACTATTTCCTCGATGACAAGGCTTTTCCGATATTTATACGTTTTCAGACATGATTTTCAAACAATACCGAGCACACCAAACTTTCGTCCGCCATTTTAAAACTTCATCAACAATTCTCAGTGCCATCTTGCATAAAAAACAAGGAAAACATTGGCGGTAAATTTTAATGAGGGTACCAGATTAATATATTACTTTTTGTTTCATTTCAAAATATGTATAAATACAGCTAAGTTGCTAAATATTGAAATTATTAATATACTTGAAATTAAAAAAATATAGTCAAGTGTAGCCAAGTTTTCGTAAAATTGTGAATACAGGGTGTGATCAAAAAATTTGCTAACAGTCATAATCTAGAATTACAAAAAAATTACGTATGTTGTTTAAATGGGTTTAATAGCGCTT